TAAAAGACTAAATTGAACACATTTTGTCATACATGAAGGACTATTTCAATCACCTAGAATATATTGAGGACCAAAATAAAGCAACCTCAATACATAAAGGACCATTTTGATCATTTTCTCCAGATAAATACATTGATTTAATATATATATATATATATATATACATACAAAAATACGTGGATATTAACTAAATATGATAATGGCTAAACTAAAACGTAAATTCTAAGTTAGAAATATAAATACTAAAATAAATAAATAAATACAGTTAACTAACATACAAATGAATACATTGAATTAAATAAATCTATACAAAAATATATGTATATTAACCAATAGGCAATGACTAATTGAAAAAGATGTTGAACAGACAAGATAAATGTATATATAAATTGGAATGAAATTTGAAAAAATAAAGGTTGATTTGAAAGAGAAAGCTTTGGAGATGATAAATAAGGATTAGTGACCATAAAACATGTCTGAAAATAAATGATCAAGCATGTAATAGCATATTTGCTATTTAATATTTAAATAAATAAAATATATTATAGCTATGTGCCTTAAATATATAACAAAGTTTGCCATATTATGTAGTTTTTCCAAATTAATTATACGAAATTTTTCATCGCTCTTTGTAGGTTGGCATAATATAGAAAGAAGTGTCAAGAAAGAACAAATACCTATCACCTTTGGAAGGTTTGGGATCACTCAGCAATGAAACCTAACTGAAAGCAGTTGGGAATGAGTACCTATTCCTTACGGGAAATGAACCCATGTCTTTGACATGAAAAGACGATGTCCTGACCACTGGACGAAAGGGACCAAAAAGTCATTCTTCATATACCTCAGCTCTGAGAATAAAAGTGGTTCGTTTTCTAATAATATGAAATCATGAAGTTGAAGTTTTGTTTAGACATGCAATTTTGACTTTTTACATTGTATATTTTTTCATAAACATAAAAACCTCATAAGTTATAAAATTATTAAAATTATCCCAATACTTTATACAATCTTTTATCAATGCAAAAGTTTATAAAATCATATAATACAATATCACAAACCTTTTCTTAAAACATTCAACATTTATCGATCAACTCTTAATTCGATAAAAATATAAAATTGAATTATTATTTTTTACTAATTCAATACAATCTCACCACAGTAGTTAGTCTTGTTCACTCAATATAATAATGAAAATATATTTTTTATCAAACGTTGATTTAAATGAAGTAATAAATTTGATTGTGTAAATAAATTTGATCAAAAATAATGAATTTGGTGCATATAAATGGTAAACAAGAATTGATTTGAAGTAATACTAAATTTTATGTTGGTGAAAATAATTGTTATATGAGATATAAATGGTTTAAAAAGTAATTATATGATTTATAAATCTTATTTACATATGTAATTATTACTCGTAGATATAAATATGAGATTTTATAACAAAATATAAAATGTGAAAATTTTATAAATGACATGTAGGACTAATAATTTCAAGTTATGAGCGGTGAATTTTTATTTTTAAAAAATTTCAAATCATGATATGAAATTTCAAAATCATGATTTTTGGGGATTTTGAAATTTTATCTAATGATATAAAATTATGAGATGAAATCAACATTAAATCGCTTGTCCACACACTGATTTCATCCCATGATTTCTGATAAATTTATAGCCAAACGCCTACTACGTAAGTTTATGTGATAGCAGTGAAAGCCATCCTTTTTTTTCCGCTTGAAATAGGGGTGTGCAAAAAC